TGTGGCCAAAAGGACCTCTGCACCTGACTCACCACCTGGTGGTCAAGGCCAGGGCCGAGTTGCTAGGACTGGGCAGGTGTCCAGTCCGGGTACCAGCAACCCTCGGTAAATTCATGTAGGGAACTCCGCTGTAAGCAAACCGGAACCAGAAGGAAGAGAAGCATGACTGCTCGATCTACTTCCTTCTGCGCACTAACTGGCAGACCGACGTCATCGTTGCGACCAGTCAGCGTTCGGGAGCAATAGATCGGGCAGGACTTCATGCTTTCTTCTTTATTCTGATTTCGATTTTCTTCCAGCGGAATATCGTATTTCTCTTTTTCTCTCAGTGTTTTTAGCAAATGCTACTGACATTTGTTTTACTTCGTTTCTTCACAGAGGAGGCAGGGTACCTGGTTGAGCACTGCAAAAGACTCCTGGACGTTGTAGTTTCTCTCTACCCACCTATCAATAGCTACACATGTCTTGCCAAAATGCACCTCTCCTTGTTCACCTCGCGGAAATTGATGGAAATTGATGGACTTGAACTCGACGGCAATCAAAGGACCGTAAATTCTGAGATTGAAAAGGTAAGACAACTCAAAACACTTGTTCATGGAAAGTTGAAGTTACAAATTTGGAATTATGCTCGTGAAATTTTACTGAATATTCCCAACGACTCCTAGCTTCATCATTGATTGTGGAGAATATTAATGAGTTATTGTGAATACTATTGAATCCACTGAATAATGTTTAAAAATTATCATTTTTACTTGAACCGTGCTTATCTGAAATTGTGGACTCATCGTCAAAATCCCCAATGGAAGTGTTCAAGTTACATAATTTACACACTTCAAATTTTGTTAATGTAACACCAATGTGTTACCTTCTCTGTGCATTTCTACAAGCATTCAATTGAATTTGGTGGTTCTGGGGTTGTCAACTTACAACTGAGTTCACAAAATACAAACAACTTTCAATTTTAAATTAGAATGAGACAACTTTGTCCAATGAAAGGCACCGTTTTTGAACACACCAGTTGCGTAGGAGAAATTTGTAATACATCATTTTTAGGACAATTTGTGCAAACTGTTGCAATAAAATGGTGCAATTCACCGCAAAAGCAAAAGATGCGTAGAAGAGCATATCCCTTCTTGGAATAAAATTGTCCCACACTTCTAGTTTAATTGCGTAACTTTTTAATCTTTTTTCTTGTAGCTAAAGGAAGAATTATCTGCTCTTCTTGCTGAAATTCGCCGCAGTGCAATCGAGCCACATGAGCTGATGGCTGTGGAACAACTGAATTTATTTTTGCTGTTGAACAACTGAATTTATTTATGTTATTGTGAATTAATAGATCTGCTGGTAAATTTATTTTGATGAAAAAAATGTAAGAATTTTGTGATGTATGCGTTACATAAAAGTTGTTGCTTTTATAATGGGAATGGGGTTTCTTCTCTAAAATGCCTGTTAAGTGGGTAGAATTTTCATGGAAGAATACACCCAACCCCTATTTGTACTTTAAAAATTCTTATTGAGATGCGGTTTATTTGTACATTCAAACACTCTCAATAAAAAGTTATGCCATAATTTTCAATTATTTTGGTACTTGGTTAAAATATCCTTTCACCAGGGGCCACATTTTATGGTGAATAGAAACCTTACATTGATAATTGACACATGTTTTCAAATCCAATCACTAAAATTTCGGATGACTGGAAGTACGACGTGTGCGCCCGGTTGACGAGGGCGCAGCCGTGCCCCGTGCCCCCGACTAGAGTCCTACAAACCGACCTGCCCGGCGCGCGTGTGCGTTGGGCTGCCTATGTTGTGTATTAATCATACGTTGGTAACACTGTCGAGTGTCGTCTGTCAAGTCTTATAAATACACCTGTACGAAGGTCCAATAAACCAGTTGCTA